ACGTCTTGAACAACCTCTTTTTTGTAAGTGATTATAAGGTCAATTTCGTTATTGTTTATGCTATTTGGTGGTTGCCAAATCCATGTAAAAAATTAATGTAGAGAAAAGGAAATGTTAAATTGCAGATAAAATTGTAATAGTTCAAAGAAGAAGGAAATAACTGAAAATATCTAACTGTACCAAGAATAGTACAACGGAAATAAAAGTAGGTATGGCAAAATAAAACTGGATTAGAGATCAGCAAAATACCAGGCATCAAACATTGATGGATTAAACAAATTAAACGAATTCCAAAAGCGGAAAAGAAAATACCAGAGAATTAAAATGAAAAGAAGCTAAGGATAAGTGCTGAAGGAAGGGGGCAAAGCGATAGAAAACACAATACAAAGGAATCGGGATAAATCAATAAAATCATAAAACAAAAGATTATAGAGGATATAAGACCAAAACCATACTCAATATCAATAAAAGCTCATGGAGATGCAAATGAAGACAAATCCAAAATCACGCCGGATCCGGAGATAAACGAGAAATGGATGAATTTGTGATATATAACCCCAAACAACAAGGTGGAGTGACTGAAATGTCCAAAATAGGAAAAGGTACCATCCGATCAAAACTGAAGAGACTCTTTAGCTTAGGTCTCAAAAAAAATTGCAAACTGACGAATCTGTAAGGTTTTTCCACCACATACCGAGTTTTACCAGCATCTAGATCGTGCTGCCCCTTTTCGGACTACTCTTGAAGTATCCTTGACTTTGGCACGTAAAATTGATGATCACTTCCACTTCTCATTTCTTCGATATACTATCGAATGTTAGGGGCAGAGCTGTCACAAGTACATTACTAAAGTACTTGGAGTACAAGTACAAAGTATTCAAGGTTTTGCAGAAGAAATTCAAATACAAAGTACATATTTTCTTCAAATGTACTCCAATTACCAAATACATACTTAATGAAAGTACTTGAATTTTTCAGAGTTCTTAACTTGAAGTACAGGGTGGCCCAAATCCGAGCCTCATCATTGGGATCTCGGACACAGTAAGAGATACGGACGGGGTCCGCCATTTTGAAATTAGAAAGATTCCGAATACTTCCGGAGATATTCGGAAAAAACCGAAATTTTGTAAAATCGTTTTTATATTTTCCCGGGCTTATTTGAAGGGCAATTTTAAAATAAAGTTCATTTCATTGTTGTCACTTTTTCCCCTTCAGAAGATGGTGCTCTTAAATTTAAAATCCGACGTTTCGTCTTCAGGCGGCCATCATCAACTTACTTTTTCTAAATACGGACCTGGATTTTTTATTTGAGATTTTGTCATCTTTAGGCAACCTAAAACCGATAATGTTTATAATTTTTCAATAACACAGTAAAAAAAGCAGGTCTGTATTGGGAAAAAATCAAAACTATGACATGAATTTCTCGTATTTATCAAATTTTTCCCTGATTTCATTTGATAAGATTTTGAAAAACTAATTTCACCTTCTCATTGTCCCTTTTTCTTCTCTACAAAATGGCCGTATTAAATTTAAAATCCAACGTTTCGTTCCTCTGGAATCATCATCATTTTATTTATTTTTTTAAATAAAGGCCTGCTTTTTTACTATGTTATTGAGAAATTATAAACTGTATGGGTTTTAGGATGCCCAAAGATGACAAAATCGTAAATAAAAAATCCAGGTCGGTATTTAAAAAAAGTAAGTTGAAGATGGCCGCCTGAAGACCACCATCTTCTAAAGGGGAAAAAGTGACAGTGATGATGAAGTGACCTTGATTTTAAATTTCTCTTCAAATAAGCCCGGGAAAAAATAAAACGATTTTACAAAATTTCGTTTTCTTCCGAATGTCTCCGGAAGTATTCTGAATCTTTCTAATTTCAGAACGGCATTCTATTGGTCATAAAATTGCGCAACTCTGCCATAATTTAACCGACCCTGTATCTCTTACGGTTTTCGAGATCCTAATGATGCTCAAATTTGGGCCACCCTGTACAATTGAAGTATTTCAAGTACTTACTTGTACCGGGTGATTGTCTACATTTTGCACCCACACCTATCTCACTTGTTTGAAGAGATACCCAGAAATGTCAAGCGTGAAAGTTGTAAGTAATATCAAAAAGTTTCCAATAATGGTAGTTACAAGTATACAAGGTGTGTCACTAAAGTGAGGCGAAGCAAAGTTAAAATTTTTCAAATGGAAAACCCCATATATTATTGTTCCATTGGATTAGCCTTTCAAACCTGATTCCAAATATACTAGGTTTTTTAGGTTAACTTCTAATAGTCCAAGAGAAAATAGGATAAACAGAGGTGGAATAATTGCATTTTTATTGAAAAAGATGAAGTATAGAGATCACCATCAGCAAAATATAAAGGCACCTAATCATTCATATAAAAAATCCATATCATTTCTTCAAAATGGTATATTCAGAGGCTGGACTATGAGGATAAACCTGAAAAAGCTAGTATATTTGGAATCAGGTTTGGAAGGCTAGTCCCATGAGACAATAATATACGGGGTTTTCCATTTAAAAAAGTATAACTTTGCTTCACCACACTTTTGTGACACACCCTGTATACTTGTAACTAACATCATTGAAAACTTGCTGATATTACTTCACACCTGATATTTCTGGGTATCTCTTCAAACAGGTGAGATAGGTGTGGGTGCAAAATATAGACAATCACCCGGTACTTCAATTGTTTCATTCATTATTTTTCTTGGAACCTTTGTCAAAAATTAACCAACAACCCAACATGCAGCCTCCAATATCTGTGTTTCTTAAAATATTTAAAAATATAAAGTACTTCAAGTCCAGCTTCAAGTACACTTTTGAAGTACCGGGTAATTGTCTATATTTTGCATCTACACCTATCTCACCTGAAACGTGAAAGTTGTAAGTAACATCAGAAACTTTGCAATGAAGTTAGCTACAAGTATACAGGGCGTGTCACGAAACTATAGCGAAGCAAAGTTATACTTTTTAAATGGATTAGCCTTTCAAACCTGATTCCAGATATGCTAGGTTTTTCAGGCCTATTCCTAGTAATCTGGGAGTAAATAAGAAAAAACGGGGTGGAATATTTGCATTTTCATTGAAAAAGGTGAAGTATAAAGACGACCAGCAAAATATAAAGGTAATCATTCAAGTAAAAAATCCATATTATTTCTTCAAAATGGGATATCCAGAGGCTGGACTATGAGGAATAAACCTAAAAAACTAAGTATATTTGGAATCAGGTTTGAAAGGTTAATAATTAATAGCTCAATAATAGATATACGCGGTGTTCCATTTAAAAAGTATAACTTTACTTCGCCACACTTCTGAAGTACCGTTTATCCACTTTACTTCAAGTAATTATAAGAACTTGGACTACAATTTCAAATATTTACTTAAAGTACCTGACAGCTCTGGTTAGAGGGATGATTTTTTCTACCATTATTTGACCAGTGGCCTTGGATAAGATAATGCGCATGCCTGGTAGGTACTGGTTTTTAATTTTCTCAAATTTCTCGAGATAAAATCATTATTAGATTAGAGCGAGTTCTTTGAGATACTTTAGAACTCAATGTTTTCCAAGCTTTAGCAGTAATTGTTCAATTTGTTTCTAGTCTTTCAACGTTTTGTCATCCTCTGTTTTTTTGAGTTTTGGTTTTCCAATAACTTGAAATAAAAAGTTATGGTGATTAGAATAAAAGTTGTAGAGAAGATGAATTGATTTGTTTCGCATGTTTAATGGAAAAACAATATGAGTATACCTATTAGGTGGGACTTTTGAACCATCCTGTCCTTTTATAGGCCACATTTAATGACGTTTGGAGCTTTTTTATATAAAAATCGCAATTTTTTTTTTCACTTCCCAAAAAGAAATGTAGGTATATGATCAAGTGGAAATGCCTACTATGTACGTACATAAATATATAATTATTTTTTATTGGTGTGGCATTAATATTTAATGGCTGTTTCCTACAAACTACAAGGCTGGTTGTTTTATCATAAGCTGCATTTTTATTGAATAATTTATGGAATGCTTTTTCGTTTCTTAATGTTTCAAGTTATAATTGAAGTACTGCTTCCTGGCGGTGATTATGATTAGGTACTTTCATTATTTTGGGATCAAATTAATGAAAACCGAATTTTCAGCGCACAATTTTCGTACCTTCATACAATGAAATCTCTGTCTATTATGGATTCGTTTCAGACCCAGATGATTAATGTTCATGTTGGATTAAATTTAACGAAGTCTGAAGCAAGTTAATTAAACGGCAAAGTCTGACCCACTTTGCATATCATTTATGTCCGCATAAAAAGTCATATCTATTGTAGCGACGTTGCAGCTTGCAGCGATGACCAAAGATTAATTAGATTTTTATAGTTGGGAACTTATTCTCTTGCCGGTCACATTTATGTTGTTGAAACGTCGTTGTGCCAACATTTTACATGTGAACATGGACGCCTTAAGGATAGAAATTATTATAGGTGTCCACAGAGGGTAGTCCTCTCGGCCCCATCGCGAAACAGGGCTATGTGACCCAGATTGCAGGCTGAGGCCGAGCCTACTATCCTCCTCCATGCTGTCTAACACGCACCCAGTATACCATACCAGGATGCTGGGTGCGTGTTTTGTGTTTTTCTGGTATGGTGAGCCACCCTCACTCAAAGGATACCAGGGATAGATGATAATCTATCTTCACTAATCCCTTACTACTTCTATAGTTTATATTTTAATGACTGGATACGATAAATTAAACTCGCCAAATTTTAATCCCTTAAACCCCTTACAGAGTGACCCAACACTTTCATTAGTCTCATGCGTAAACACATATAGAATTTTTACAAACTTCTTCAAGAAACCCCACTTGCAATGCTCGATCTACCCTTCTAAGCCTTCCATTCGGATTTATATTTCGTTAATGTTTCTGGTTATGTATAGTTGACATGAGTATCTGAAAATACCTAAAAAAATGGTGTTAGAGTAACAAATTTCTTCAATTTCAGATAGTTCCACTATCGAATTCGTCTCGTGATGCTGTTGCAAAATGTAAACAACATACTGCGTAATTCCGAACGTAACAACTCCTTACCAGAAGCCACAGCGGAAAATCAAATCTCCGAAGAAAAGTTACAAGAAGAATGTAGCAGAGCTTTGCATATTTTGGACTCGGCTCCTGCTCCGGGATGGACAGCTCACGCTACTAAAGACGGTCGATTGTATTATTGCAAGTAAGAACCAACAGAGACTCGCATTTTCCCAATAGGAAATTTTACATTTCTGTTAGCTTCACTTTTTTCCTTCATCCAAATACGAATTAATAGTATAAGAACATACATCTACAGACTTTACCAAAACTCTTTTTTGACGAAGTAGTTGAAATGTCCATTGAAGTTCTTGTTTCGTCAATCCCTGGACACGACACGCACTGTCTAGTCAGGCAAATTTGGATAGATAATCCTTTTATTATCTATTATTATCTAGATTTAGTTTAGCAAACCACTATAGCAGCAAATCGTTTTTATATAGCTTGCTAATTTTGTACCTAAAGTACGATCAGAATGTTTAATGAATCTGCTCCAAAGAATACTAAGTACCTACCAACCGTTTGAATATTCTCACGGAAACGATTATACTTTGAAAGTGTGCTTAATTTTTTCTCTGATATCGATTTGCATTTAGAATGGAAAAGGAAGTAAGGGTCAGTTTAGAAATTTCTTTTTCCTTTCCAGTCATATTACGCGTACTGCTGGCTGGCTACCACCGGCAGACGTATGGAAAAATGGAAAAGATTCCTTGCCATATGGATGGGAACGGGCAGTCGACGATACTGGAAAATCTTACTATATTAAGTATGTATTCATCTAAGTGATTACCTGCTGTATTTTTAATAGTTATTCACATTAATTTAGCAGTGGTATTTTTGAAGTATAACTCGGAGTATAATATACTATACATTAATCTGAGTTATTTAGTAGGTACCAATAATAATTTTGAATAATTTCAAGTCACGTTAACAAAACAACAACCTATGAAACGCCCGCATATAAACTCACCGAAAACCTCCCGATACCCAAACCGAGAACCCTGGTATTGGAAAGGTCTACAAATTTGGGATTTGGATTCGTCGCAGGCTCGGAAAAACCTGTCATCGTGAGATTTGTTACTGAAGGAGGACCAAGTGCAAGTAAAGTAAGAAAAGTTTATTATATGAAAATTAATATTATCAATAAAATATCCAAGTCCACTAAATCTTTCAACCTCTATCTACGTTCCCAAGTGGCTGTAAGTTAAATCTCTAGAAATAATTTAAAATAGATTCCATAAAAGGAAAAATTCAAGGCAGGCAGACGGAAATGATTCTCAGATGCTGCCGTGCATTGGGACTTAATCATTTTTCCAATAAAAGTTACCCTTTTGTATAACGAGAGGTATTTCACTTTATCCAATTCCGAGATCAAAGGCAATTCTATACTGAAAGCAATAATGTACCTACTTACAAGACGCTCCCGACGAAGTTATCTAGGTAATAAGATTAAACTTGTCGATAAAGTTTTGGGGTGGTGCGGTTGTGTCATCTGAAAGGCTGGTTATTCACAGGACTATGTTCAAAGTCCCAAGTATTCCAGGCCAGGAAATTAGAGCAAATATTGTATAAACTTCCACAACAATTTAATACAAAAAAATTAAAAGTACTTAGTTGGAAAAAAATAAATGAATAATACATATACACATACATTACACTCATAAAATTCTTTGATGGACAAGTATTTATTCAGTGTCGTATGCTGATGCAAGTTGTATTCTAAAATATAGGTACAGTCCAGAAAAGGTTAATATCTTTTTGCATCTAAAAACATTTTTACATGCGGCTCGGTATCGTGTACAAGAGTGAGTCAACTCACCATTCAGAATGGAGCAGGCAAGGCAGAGATTCCTGGGACAAGAACTAAAACAGAGGATTGCGGGTGTAACAACAAAAATTCTAAAGTCCAAAAAAGGGCTGCATATCAGAAATATGGACGAGCTCACGACTGAGGATAAAACTTTTAAATCGCAGTACAAAAAGGCTTTAGAAATAGGACCGGAAGCAGTAGACGTTAGAGCTATCAGGCCCGCCTACGGAGGAAAGCAAAATTCCATGAAAATTGGCTGGATAAAATGCAAGGATTCTGAAGGATTACAAGAACTTCGATGTTTTCGCTGCTTGGACTATGTGCATACTAAGGTGCATTATAAAGGAACGAAGAGGGAGCACTTATGTAGAAAATGTAGCAAGAGAGGAAATATAGAGTGCAGAAGCGAGTTTTTCTACGTCCTTTGCAATAAAAAAGAGCATTAGTCTAAGCTAAGATGTCAAAGGGGTCCAGAAAAGAAGGCGTGGAAAAGGCGCATTTCCGAAACACATGATCAAGATTCTTCAAATCAACACAAATAGGAGTAGTCCTGTTCTTAACATGGCTGTGGCCACAGCCAGGGAAAGATCCTTCTAGTCAATGAGCCACATTGCAGCATGATAAAAATAGAAAAGACTGGATACAAGACCAGCATCAGAGAACGACTGCCATCAAGATAATGGATAATAGCCTACCAACAAACAGCTGGGGAGAGGGCCCGGGCTTCCCCTACGTCACCACAAACTTCTATACAATCTACAGTTGTTCAGGCAATGATGATGTACTGGACCTTGAAGAAACGATCCAAAAAATTGGACGACTGATAAAAACGAAAAAGGAAGATGCAGTCATGACTGGTGATTTCAATTCTAAATCTCTGCAATGAATGTTACCAATAGAAGAAGATTGATATTGGTAGAATGGTTACTTTTCCAAAGATTCAATCAAACGCGTTTTCCCGAGGCAAAAATTAAAAAAACTCTTCGTGAATTTTATCCGGACTGACTCATTAGGTACTGTAGACTTGTAACTCAAAACTGGACTGCAGGCTGAAGACTAACAACTGCCCTGCTTCTTCTAAAACCCCTGTATTTATATTTTTCGATTCCCCCCAAAATATTATTAATTACCTACCAAAATCGACAATAGGCGGTCGTTTGACCATCTATATTTCAATCCTAATGGTCGACCTAGATATTATTCCAAAAATTAATTTCATCATTTAGAGGATGATGCAATCTGTTCGAAACTTTTGTCAATTTGGGTCCAATTTAATTAGGTGCTTAACCTTGTAATTGATCTTATTACTTATTTACGAGTTCAAATGATGACACGTGCTTGGTTGCTGATGGCTTGTTTAAAATTTGAACGTACCGATATAAATATTTTAATTAATTTGGGTCAATACTAATTTGTTTCATCATCTTTCAATTTATAGATACTGATTTGAAATACAGGAAATTCAGTTTTTGATTATTTGATTACATTTAATTTTTACAGTAAAGGCATTGTAAATTATGGGTCTATTTTCCCGGGTCATTACATCATCTATAGGTAATGACCGATATCGATCCTTATACTTAACTGGTACATTCTTTTCAGTTGCCACCGCTAATAGGTCATTTAGTAAATTAAAAATATCAAAGAATTGCTTGAGAAATTCCATAGTCAGCATAGACTGCATGATCTTTCTATTTTGTCTATGAGACATAGCACCAGCATTCAATATGGATATTCGGTATTTCGTTGCTCCAAAAAAATTATCCAATGGATACAAGGAGCCAATCAAGAGCCGGTAATATTCAAAATTTGAAGTTTTATCAACTCACAAAAAAACTTATATTTTTTTCATTACAATAAGGGTAGGGGAGGGGTGATGGTCTGATAAAAGGCAATCAATATATTGATGGAATGACGAGTTAGCAGAACGACGTCGAGATTGCCTGAAATGGCGTAGAAAACCCACTAGCGCGAGACGAAACGGACCTGTCGTAAGCCTGGATATATGGGACCAGAAAAGAAAAAAGAATCTGAGAGAGGCAATCAAAGAAAGACTGCTAAAGGTCCTTATGTAAAAAGGTAGACTGTGATATTTGGGTAAAAGGACATAAAATCGCCATGAAAAGTATTTTTGGATTCCCGCCGAGGATAAATATTGCAATAGAAAGAAAGGAGGAGGTGGCAAGGCATCTCTTCTCTATCCATGAACCCGTGATATTCAACGGTGATAATAGACCTAGATTTAAAGATTTCAATTCAAATGAACTAGAAATTAGCAAATCGAGGAGAATTTCCCGAAAAATGGAAGAAAGCGAAGCTCACTACTCCTAGAGGATAACAAACCACTGGAAGACCCGTCATCGTTTCGCCCAATATGCTTCTTAGACATAGAATGTGAACTGTTCGAACAGTTGCTATTGGAACGGCTCAAAAGTAATGGCGTTTCCGATTGGTAGATTCAGTGCGCACTGAGTGTATTTGCATCCTTTTAATCGACCTGTAGAAGAAAAAGACAGAAATAAAAAAAATTGCACTAGTTCCGCACTAGATCTACCAATCGGAATCGCCATAAGTTGACACGAACAGGGTGAATTGTCTCCAAATCAATTTGGATTTCGGAAGGGTAAACAGGCGTGGATGAAATAAAAGAAGTCCTAATTGCTGAACATCATGTATGACGAGCTATTCCGAACTAAAATGCCCGAGGGAACTACTCTTGTGGGATTCGCTGAGGATGTAGCACTTGTGATTATTGCAAAAACAAAGGTCATGCGGATGGGATAGCAGACAGGACTCTGCTGGGGATCTTCAGCTGGATGACGAGAAAAGAGCTTTCATTAGCACCAAAAAGAAACAGAGGCGGTCCTTCTTACCAGAAAAAGAAAGATACAGATACATACTATATATTCTTCAGAATAGAAGACAAAATACTGAGGCCGTCAAACTGTACCAGATACCTGAGGGGTGCTTTTGCATACAAAGATATCCTTTGCAGCTCATAGACATGCATAGGTCATAGAAAAAGCTGAGAAAACAATTAGAGCCTGATGCCTGTAGGAGGCCCTAGAGTAGCAAAGAGAAAAATCTTTTCCAGCGTCGTACACTCCCCAATTCTGTACGGATGCACTGCTTTGCATGGAGCGTCGATGAACAAAACCCTCATGGCTAAACTGAAGTAAGTTCAACGAGCTATACCTATGCATCAGGATGTGCAATGCGTGTAGGACAACTTCGACTCAGGGAGTAGGGGTATTATTTCTGGAATTCCGCCCATAAACCTTCAAATAGAGGAACGGCATGAAAGATATATAGGGGTGCCTAAACATGCCGCGAAGTCAATTTCAATGGTTAAATGGCAAGAAGATGTTACGGGATTATTTTTCCCCCTCAAGCATCCAGAAATTTATAACTAAGTTGTCATTTCACCTATACAGTTTTCATTTCGCTATTTTTCAGTACCATCTGACGATAATTGTGGTTATTTACTTAAACATTTCATAGTATATATTATTACATATTCCTAAACTTGCTTTATAGTACCGATGCTTCTATTACAGATTTCCGTACTACCTTCCTTTGTACCATTACAGTTTCCGCTATTTGGTGGGTAACAGGCATTCAGTCAGTAGCAGTACCAGTGTCCCCCAATAGATTCTGTGAAAAATTCCTCAAGGTTTGAAATTGGTACGCCCACGTTTTCTGGAAGAGAAAGAATTAAAAAATTCGGTTTTTTTTTGGTAGAAAAGAGGGCAGCTTTCAAGAGCACGTTGAGAGTTTCGTCTAAGCGTTTTTGCTGATTTAAAACCAAAAATAAATTTGAGCCCCTAACTCCCAATTGTGGGTTGCTGAGATTATAGCACCACAGTGCCACTATGGGCAGATTTAGTTGTGCGAGTTTTAAAGGGTTAAAGTCTCAAATTTGGCCGTTTTTCTTCGTGTGCTGTGTCTGGAAAAGGCCAAAGTATTTTGGTAAGTTTTCATTTTCTGCGTTTTTTCTTTTGGATAAGTTCTACAACGTTAAAGTTCTTTTAGCATACTTCTTTACTATATTTGCTGATTGCTTGCCATGTGCGAAAATCTTGTTCTTTTTTTTTAGACCATTTTCCTTTAGTCTCTCTTCACTTTCATTCTTCCCCTTATTGGAGGCGTCGTTTTTTCTCTGATACCCCACGAGTGCCGGTTGCCCATCAACCCCCAGTACTCCAGAGGTACCTTCTGAACCACTCCAGCCTTACTGCCGCCCCTAGTTGCTAGAACATCCCTAACCACCAAGAAGATTTGGGTAGGACCCTCGAACCTCACTCCACGTCAGGTAGATTCCTGTGTCGCTGTAAGACTTGCAAACACCAAACAATCAAGGAACGCCCTGTAAGTTAGTTGGGTCACATAATATGTGTGTTGTCCTGGGTCCTGAAATCATATGGTTACACTCCAGCTGATTGGTAGTGAAGCTCTGTGGTCAAAAGAAATACTTACTCAGAAACCTACTTACTGCAGGGTTGAAAACAGGTGGCGCCTTTATTTAGACCCACCCCACTCACTGGAATTTTGTGGGCTAGTCGGAGCTTAATTCCCTATAAGTCGGATTTCTTCTTTAGGCTACCTTCAAGAGTCATATCCCTCCCTTCACTCTCTTCTCTCTTAGCTTCCCCATGTCGCTTTAGACTCGTAACAAAGATTGAGATAGAGGAATGTACGGACGATGGACGTATAGCCTCATTCCAAATCTAGATAGTTGGCTGAAATTGCTGAGAAGACCATATGGAGATACGGACTAATTCCTAACTCAAGTACGTTCAGGCCACGGTTGCTTTAACAAGTACCTCTACGACCAGAAGAAGGTCAAATACAAGTGGATGCATGTACTGTGAACTAGAAGACGACGTGCAGCATACGTTGTTCGACTGTCCGCGGTGGAATGGGATCAGGGAAATCTATATGCACAAAACGGAAAGCCCGTTCACTGCGGAGAACATAATGGAAAATCTAGTGACGTCTGAGGAAAAATGGAAAGACGCCTATACCGTTGTGACGATGAGAGGGAACACACAGCAACAGCCTGATAACTTAAATTCGATAGAAACATCCATACCAAAGACTATGATGTAGGTACTGTAGTATAACATACCCGGGTTCGCTCAGTAAGATTGAACGATGAGAATTTTTATTACCTTTTAAACAACAAATCTTCTGAAAAACGAAATGAAAAACCAATAGGACCTACGTTGTGGAAACTTACTCAGTTTTACTTACTGGACATGCACCCGACATAGCAAATATTTGGGAAATTTAAGGGAAGTTGTGATATGTAAAAGAAACGAAAAATTTGTGAAACGTCTCCTTTATTATCAAAGAAAAACGTACCGTCCTCGACCTGGAACTAACGAGGGGAAAGAGCACGGCAGAGAAACCCTCGGTCTAACATTCCTCAAAAATCGAAACATACTGTGTCATTTTAATAATAATTGTGAGACAATAATTCAATAAGTTAAGTCAATAAAAGTTTAAATTAGGTAACGCCCCTGTTCTTGTGCTAAAATTTTAATTACACACTCAACATGCAATCAACACTACCTATATTCAATACTGAAGAGTTTTTTTTGTTAGTTAGCCAGTTTCCCAGCGGATACTGAGGTCCCATACGGGAAGCTACTCAGCTATAGTTGTTTTTGAGCCAATATCTCTAGATTGATTATTTCAATTTGTTAGGATATTCTCTCGTCAGGGTAGGAAAATGTTAGTAAATTCAACAAGGCCTTAATGCACGTTCTGAATACACAAAATCGAAATCTCAGCACAAAAAGACAGCACATAATAATTTCTTAGGTTTTAATTTACTTCTTTATCTGTGTTTTTTACAGCATGAAACGATTTTGGTTAAATACATAAACAATGCACATGTTATAAAAAATTGTTATAAACAAACAAAAATACATAAAAATTGGAAAAAAAAAATACTTGCGTAAATTGAATCTCAAAAACAAAATAATAATTATTTAACTGACCTGGTGATCCTTGACACACACACTAATAACAAATTGGATTGAACAATTAGTTTAATACAAAATAAAAATAAATTTTGAATAATGAACAATGGCGGACCAACGGTCTTAAGGGACCAGCCCAAGCAATAGCCCAAGCCAAGCGTCTTCTCTATGTTCTCGTCATCTTCTACCCTTTCAGTACGCTTTTTCGTTGAAGCGCGTCTGGTTCCTATAAACTTGTACGGCGCATACATGGTTGCAACATTTAATTTTATTCGGTAAACATTTTTTTTAAAAGTTAAGATTTGAAGAAAGAATATGTTTAAATAGGTGGTTTTCCTCAGTACCTAGATAGATTCTGTGTTGATGTGATAGATATCATGATGTGATAGAAACTGAACTGTGTGATGGATTCCTATATGACCCTCACATACCTCTCTGATATAAAATTGCTTGGGATGGATACTGAAGTGCATTTAATGGATTCCTACCTGCGATAAATACATAGGGTTACTTACCTGGGATGCGTACATACAGCAATTGTCTCAATCCAAATCGGAGGGCCCGGCGCGAATTATTAAGTAATGCGAAAGCGGTCTCCAATCCTGGCTCTGGTGGTATAGAAATATTCCTGAAACTCCGTCCTGTGGATTTATGAAGATTTACGTTATGAGAGAACTGATCACATGGGTATTGGAAAAGAACCAAATGCGAACTTATTGGGGATCCACTAGGAAACTAAGACAGGCAAAAAGGTTCATATCCATCTCAGCAAAAAGATCTGAACAAATTGTCGACATGAACAAACACATTGGAGCTCTGAACTATAGGTACGCTAACGCCTCCATTTTGGACATCAAGTAGAGAGCAGATTCATGTACAAAATATCTGGAAATATAGCAGTGCTGATCGGCTGTATCAGACAGAAATGAATCCAGATGCAATCTACAATTTCTTTCTACAGTTTTTCAAGTATTTTAATGGGCGTGTTACAACACGCACTTGCGCACTTGTTTCTGTACTAGACACTCGTCCTTTTTCTATTCCAGTTCGTGAAAACAACAAACAGTCCTCATTGGTAGTCTTAAGTCCTCAACTTCAAAGGGCCTCCATTATAATTAGTTGATAAATTATTTAATTATAAATATGTTGCTCAGTTTTTTCTCTTATTAAATAGTAGCTATAAGCCAGGAAAAAAAGAAGAGAAACTTCGCAAACTAGACACAAGTTCTGTTTCATTTTTTCTCTGGTAGAAATTTATTATGGTTCTAACTTTTTCCAACAAAATTTCACTCTAGAATATCCCCTTTCATCCCCCTAAAGGTCGTTTTTTGTGGTTTTTCCGAAACGTAGCGCTTACGCTACGCTTTACAAAAAAATACCTTCATAGTAAATGGAAGAAGACTAAATTCTCTACAATTTATCCAGCGACAGCTACCTACCCTTTAGTCGGGGCGGCGCTCTAAAGTTGAATGACCTTGAAAAAAGATGTTTTGGGAATTATTTTTTTCTACTGAACAGTAAAGCGGATCCACCACAAACTATACAGCAAATACTCGAAAATAATTGGCCAATTTTTTGGAATATGTTTTATTTAAAAACAATTTCTCATTTAAGATATACAGGGTGTTGAAATTTAAACAACCCCCTTTCATATCATCTATTTTCACCTCCATTTTCTACCTGGAACCACTCCAAAAAAAAAATAAATTTGAAAATTGAAGTTATTTATTATACAAGAAAAAAAGTACTAGATTTTAGCGCGAGGTGGGCAGCGAGTGCTGAAATCTTACTTTTTTCCCATGGTTCCAGGTGAAAAATGGGGGTGCTTTATATAAATTATTAAATATCATTCCTACATCATTAATCCCTGAAAGTTTGAACAGCCTAGCATTAGTCCGTCAGATGATATGAAAGGTGGCTGTTTAAATTTCACCACCCTGTATATGCTAAACGGGTTTTTAAATAAAACAGATACCAAAAAATCGGCCAATTATTTAGGAGTATTTGCTGTATGGTTTGTGTTGGATTCGCTTTACTGTTCAGTAAAAAAAAATCCAAAACATCTTTTTACAAGGTCATTCAACTTTAGAGCGCCACTCCGACTAAAGGGTAGGTGATAGACATATGCTGTCGCTGGATAAATTGTAGAGAATTTAGTCCTCTTTAATTTACTATGGAGGTATTTTTTTGTAAAACGTAGCGGAAGCGCTACGTTTCTGAAAAACCACAAAAAACGACCTTTAGGGGGATGAAAGGGGATGTTCCAGGGTGAAATTTTGTTGCAAAAATTTAGACTCATAATGAGCAACCCTTTTCCTACCAGAAAAAAATAAAACTTGCAAGGATCAACCTCTCTTTCCTGGCCTACTACTGACTCAGTCATATTTCTGGACTTCGTGGATACCAACCTTTATCCTTTATTACTTATTTCTCAAAATTTATCCTTTACCACTATTTGACGTCAAAAAAAATCCCACCTAAAAAAATCATTAATTATTATCATTTTTCAGTTACTTCCAGGTGATCAGATTTTATCAGTTAATGGAGAGGATGTGAGAGCTGCTCCCAGAGAGCATGTAATTGCGTTAGTTCGTTCGTGTACACAAAAGGTGACCTTGGAAGTTTGTCAACCGACAGAGCAACAGGGTGTAAGGAAATCGACCCTTTTATCGGCTACAAAAAGGGCGAGATTGAAATGTAAACCATCCAGAGTTCGATTTGCCGAAAGTGTTTGCGTGAACGGAGCTCCACTGTTTCCTGTAAGCGAATATCCTAATTTTCCAGGCATCACATTGTTTTTTTTTGTAGCCTTCAGCGTTTTCTTTGGGCGATATATGCGTGCCGCAAATGGCCAACGTCCTGAAAGTATTTTTAGAAAATGGCCAAACTAAAAGTTTCAAGTACGACACGTGGACTACCGTCCAGGATGTGGTCAATTCTTTGCAAGCGAAGTTATGCATTCAGGCATCGGAATATTTCAGTCTTGTTGTCGAACATATTAAAAGTTTGAAAAGGAACAAGCTGACGCTCCTAGATCCGCAAGATTCAATAGCCAGAGTAAGAAAAAAACTTTCTTGAAAAGTAACTTTAAAAATGTATTTCCTTTTCAAACTTTAGATCGCGTCCCAACCAGGAGCTCACAAATTAAGATGTTTGTTTCGAGTTACATTTGTGCCAATAACGGCGGCATCTTTAGCTCAAAAAGACCTCAATGCTCTGGATTATTTGTACAGCCAGTGCTGTAATGATGTTATCCAGGAAAGATTTTCGCCCGAATTACAGTACGACACTGCGCTACGATTGGCCGCTTTGCACATGTACCAACACGCTTTGGCCAATAACATGCAAGCGAATAAATTAACTGTGAAAATTGTCGAGTAAGAATTTTCCTTTTGCAATTTCAACAAACTCTAAAACAGTTTTTTTTTTTCAGAAAAGAATTCGGTTTAGATCGTTTCATCCCAGCCTCAATCCTTGACAATTTGAAACGTAAAGAAATCCGCAAATTGTTGGGCCATTTTTTGAAACTACACGCAAACATGACCGGTTCCGGTAAACAATTAACATCGTTACAAGTCAAATTACATTATTTGGATATTACAAGTCAATTGCCCAGTTACGGTGCTAAGTGTTTCTCGGCCGGACCCAAGGGTGAAACTATGGAAAAAGTGATTTTGGTCAGTCCCAAGTTTGGCATCAGTCAAATTACTGGTCATCGAAATTCCGTGGTAATATAATCTATTTGAAATGACGTATAATTAATGAGTTTAATCAGTTTCAGCCGGTGCCATTAGCCAATATAGAAGACTCGAGGAAAATCGAAGTGAAAACCGAAGATGAAGTTACTCGTGTTGTACTAATCACATTGGAAAATGATAGAATATTGGAAATCACTTTGGATGAAAAAGATGCTATAGAATTAGTGTTAGTACTTAAAGGTTACTACACATTAATAACTAGCAAAGACTTACCAGTTGATCAAGAAAAAGTCCAAGAAGTAGACGACGTAGCCCCGCCATATTTATCTCAGCACAAAGTCATACCGGAAAAATGGAGTTATGTCGATCAAGCTTCAATTAAACCGGCCACTTTTGCTAGTCCGCCAATTTATCAGAACATTAACAAAAAAACGAATGGTTTATACAACACAATGGGCAGGCATTCAAAACCTTCTTTGTTATACCATTACAGTTTAGATGGCAATATGAATAATTCATTGACGAATAGGAATCATCAAAAATTGAATGAATTTACTGGGTTTAAGAGTATGGAACAAGAACCCGAGTACTTTAGTATGGTAAGAACTATCATAGATAATAAACTCATATCGCATATAGTCTGTTATCATCTATCTTTGGATATGCCTCTTGCAGCACAATCATCATCTGTATCTGAGCAGCAATATGGTCTTATCATTATATTGTTCCGAGTCCCATCTGGTGGCCTTTCTGTCCTGCAAGGTGTCCCCAAAATTCCATTTCAAATGGATTATTTCCTCTAAAATGGTTTTCACTCTCATCTAGGTATAACATATATCTATCTATCTGATCTTCAAAACTGTCGGAAATTAATACAGTAATCGGCGTACTAATGATTTAGTCTTTTGCTGTTTAACACTTTGACTGCCATGTGTATAATAAGGTATACACAGTGGCCTGGACCAGATCGCCACGTGTATATTCTAGTATACACATGCAATCATCAATTCTGTGCCGTGTGTGTAGTAAAGTAGCACACTTTACATGCATTTCTTATGGAATATTTTTCAGCGTGGCGTGGGCCGATCACAAAATAATTTTAGCGCCGACTTTGGATGAAAATTTCGTATGATCTCATAGCATCACTAATATACATCACAATACACTTGCATGACTTGCACAACAGCAATGAACCACATTCAAATCAACAATGACCACTATTCATAAGCTCACAGTGTGGCCACAGAGAAGAATAATCCTGTCTAAACCGTGCATGTCGCTGTCTAGACCGTGTATATCATCGGATACACGTGGCGTATTATAGATTTTTTTCACTTTTACGCCACGTGTATATTTTTTATACACTTGCCCTAAAGCCCTTATTACAAAAAAACTAACATATAGTATATATTAGAGAGCGTTAGAAAGGTATTTCAAATGGTTTTCTATAAAAAAGCACATGTGGCCCAAGCGACCCTTTCATAGAATTTGACGTGGCAGTCAAAGTGTTAAATTTATGCCAATCAGACCAGTCTAGTTTCTTAGATACATCCTCCATTGGAAAAGTTTTGTTGAGATCACATCTATCCGATTCCCTCTTTTGATTAAAATGGTATTGGTTTTCCCTTCAGCCTAGATGTTATGGACAAACTATCTGAATCATAGGTCAATTCGAAAGTTGTTCATTATTATTTCTGCAGCAATTCTTATAGTCCATGCAAGTCAGATACAAGAAAAAATGGTATTGGCATTTTCTAGGAGGATGTTTATGGTAAGGAGATGGTCAGTGGTACCTACTAAAATCATACTTTATTTTATGGGGGTTTTGGAAAATCTGCTGTGTCAGGTCTGAACCCTGGTGTTCTTTCGACTGGGGTGGCGCCTGTTGTTCTGCCTTTGACGGGGTAGTGTCGGGTTGGCGCTCTTTTCCTAGAGTCGCCGACCGACTAAAAACCCTTTCCCCCTATTTTCGCATTTTCCTTTCGGAATCGTCGTTAGGCATAATTATCGAAAGGTGTGCTTTGTTGTAACTTCCTGTTTATATAATATTGCGGTCTTCTCTCTCCTCTCTTTCCATTTCTGCCATCTTGTTCTTAATGAAATTATATGGTATGTCCCAGTTTCCTTTCGACTGTATCATTATTTGTATCATATTGTCACTATTTATGTCATTCCCCAATTTCATGTTAGTAAGCGTTCTGCTTCTATGCCATCTCGGAATTGAACAATGTGTGTTCAGCCGTATCTCGTTCCTCACAATATCTACATTTCTCATCGGTGTTCCCTATCCTGTGCGCTGTGCGTGTATGTTTTAAAACTATATATGTGTCTGTGTTCACATTTACACCATTCTCCTATATTTGGTATCAATTTTTTCGTCCACTGGGCCTTCGTTGTAATCTCACTCTATCTGGCTTGCCATGTCTCCATTGTTCTACCTTTGGATCTTCTCTTGTCTCTTATCACAAATAAACCTTGTTATTTGAACTTTAAGACAAGAGAGCCTAGGGTCGTGGAATTCAGAAAATTAAGAGAACGTGTAGCCCCTTCATGTGCAAATGAAACCACTCAAAATCCAACAAACAATTATTTTATTTTGTTTACAATATAGTAAAAATGTTAAAATTAAATTTAAAAGAGTTAAAATTTGACAGTTGACAGCTTGGTTGTTCTGGTGAATCTGATACAATGTAGCTTTCCAATCCGGAGCTCTTCAAGGGATGTTGAGGTTTCACTTTTGTGAACTGGAGCTCTTCGTGTTGTTTCCTGTATCCAGATAGATTGCTGGTGTGACGTCACTCCAGCTGATCCAGACTCCAAATAGTGATCTCTATGTCGACTAGGTATCCAGAAAAGGATAAGGCAGTATCAGGTTCACCAAGATTTGGAATATTAAATCCCGGAATTCTGTCAAAAAGAGAGTGTCTTGCAAAGAAAATTTAAATTGAAATTTAATATAAAACTATTGTTGTGCAGACACTTCTTTCCTACAGAATAAGGTAAGTATGAGCGACTATTGTAAATTGGAGAAATATTTTAATAAAAAAAATACAATTAAATAATTGAAAAATAATCATAAAAATAGATAACAGCAGGATTAAATTGAAATGCTCATTACAAGTTAAGCGGAGTGCTGCTTTTCTGGCAGTAGCAATAACGGGCAAGAATATGAACAAAATCAGATAGAAAACTAATAAATTAAATCTTTATAGATTCTTCCCCAAATAGACAAAATTTTCCTTCTAAGCCAAGGTAGCTACTATAGGTGCTACAAGATAAACCTGAAGGTGAAATCAATCAAATCCAGGAACTGTCAAAATTCTTGAGATGCTTCAATTAAAACTTTTTAAATGAATTTTTGACCTGTCTGGATTTCTATTTTAGAAAATTACACTCGTTTTCAACACTCTTCTCCTTGAGAGGATAATAATTGATGGAGTTGAACAGAAAATGGCTATATAGGCCTCTGCTTGGATTCAATAAACAGTTGATAGGGATGGACACACACATTTGGTTTTCACCGACTCTATTTAGAGCACAAAGTTCCATATTCCCACACTAACAATTGACTCTGAAAACCAGAGCAGCAGTACCTATTTATTAGCCCAAAAATCTGAATTGACTTTCCTCAGAAAAACGTGGCATCATCAATCGGCACTTACACAAAATGGAGGTCCACAATTAGATAAAAAATTAAAATATAATATTTATATTTCAAGAATAGATAAGATAAGATTTATCATATATAATACCACAAGAGAAAAAATTTTGCTGGCAAAATTTTCGACTGGTATGAAAGTTTGTTGTCAAAAATTTCATGAGCGAAATTACCAAAAAGCAACAAACTTGAATAAAACCAAGAGAATAATTTTGCCTGCATAATTTTTTCTTGAGTGGTATTCGGCTGGACTATTTTACGAGAGAAACAAGCCAAATTTTCATTTAGAAAATTTATTTTCTTTAGGTGACACTTGTCAAACTCAATTAGGGAATCCAAACCACGTGACTTTTGCCAACCAGCCGGCATTTTGAAATTTTTATGAGGTTAGAATACGGGTTATTACATATCAACGATGTCAGAAAAGTGTCAGATTTTAGAACTCGCCCCGTGTATTGATAACCCCGCCAAAAAAAAAAACATATGTTTTTTGTTTATTGTTTGTCAACCAGACGCCATTTGGACAGGTCGTTGGATTGCCTAATTAGGTGCTAGCTGACGTCTCACACATAACCTCAATGACATGTTTGTCCCCCTAACGAAAATCCCTCTATATCCTGTTCGCAATCCGATGTCCACAGGTGCAGGAAAATGTATCACCTTTCCCTATCAAATAGCATTGAGAGGTGATAAATTTTACCTGTAGGTACCTGTGGACATCGGATTGTGAACAGGATATAGGGCATGTCCATGTGACGTCACAAATGAGTTTGACAGTCGCCCTGAGGTAAAACAAATCATTTATTTACATTCGTTTAAATTAGGCCGGTTATGTTTTATGCGGTTTTCACAGCTTTTTCACAAGTTTTGGTGTTATTTTTTTTTTTAAGTTATAGCGGAGTGTTTGCGTTCTAGGCTATGTGGTCTTTCATCTAAAAGTTTGCTAGGATTTTCTATAATGGATTAAATTCAGGTTTTTTCCAACAAATATCAAAACCAAGTGTCACAAGAACAAATATATAAGTATAGTTACTCTATATTCAATCTATTTTTCTGTCAGATCTTCTCTTTTAAGAACATTAATCAATTTTTCTCTTCTCTCTTGAGCTAACAAATCAAACCTCCCATTATTATTTAAAATTTATGGAAACCTATGGAAGAATATTTTATCCCTTGCGCTATACTGCCACAATTAACAACTAAACAAACTCTAGGCATGTCCAAGAAACTTCTGGAGCACACAAAAGGTATTTATTTAAAAAAATCTAACTAAAAAAAAACTTGTTTTACCTCAAGGCGATTGTCAATAGTGTCAAACTGTCAGATCGTGTACTTGCCCTATAGAGTGATTTTCGTTAGGGGGACAAACATGTCATTGAGGTTATGTGTGAGACGTCAGCTAGCACCTAATAGGGCAATCCAACGACCTGTCAAAGTGGAATTCAAAATGGAGGCCAATGCCTTTTTTCCACTAATAATTTCTTAAACTAAAAACTTTCTTAGAATACGAAAATTATCCTCCCAAACACTAGAAAATCATCTAAAAGCACCACAAAATACACAAAAAACAGTTTTTCTACAAACGTCACTAAAAGTGTCATTTTTAACGGATGCTGTCAGTGTCTAAAATGCCATTTTATGACACTGGTGTTAAAAGTGATTACTTTTAGCACTAGTGCTAAAAGTAATCACTTCTAGCACTGATCAGAAAATATAAAAACATAGGAAATTTTATATCAAAGTAAAATATTTATTTAATTAAATTAAAATTAGCGAAACTGCAATTAGAATAAGAAACTCCATGGCCAATCTCATTGGTAGCAAATACTGAATTTATTTTGGCGAAACTTGTACCAGGAGAGTAAAGAGCAATGTTATTCTCCGAACTTTTGGGCAGAATTTGATCCGCAATGTTCTTTTGTATGAAAACTCGTACTGTTG